ATAATCATTTTGAGAAAGGAGGATTTGCTTCTTTGGCTTCCTCAAGCATGGAAGTTGTGTAAGTTGTAAATAGTCTGTATTTCAGCCTGGCTTTTGACCATTTTTCAAGTAGTTGTTCTCCATTTCTCCATTACCAGAAAGTCAAGCCATTCCTGCCCGATAGCATACTGCTCAGAGTATAATTGAGACTTGAATGAACAACACGTGTGGCTTTTAAGGTTAAATGAATATTGCTTGACATACAGTACACTAAAGTTGTTTTTCATTTTGGTCTAAAAATTGGTTAAAATTACACCTTTTTGCTTCTCAAAATTAACTAGAATACATCTGTCTCCATTAGAATGACTCTTCTTTTTTTTTTCAAAGCCATGTTTGAGAGAAAAAAAAAGTTCTATATCACTCAAGACAAATTATCCAGTGAGTTTGGAAAGTGAAACAATTTTTTTTAGGGTATTCATGCCTATTTTCCCCCTGATATAATAGCTAAGATTATAAATGGATATGCGGTATCTATTTTTAGCTACTCACACAGACACTATCCAGGTCTAGAGAGCTACTTTTAGACATACAAAGTTTAAGCATCTAAAATGATCGTTCAGTCTATCGATGGTTTTAATCAGGTTAAGTGTTGCCTGATTTTTTTTTATCAGCTCTCCCTGGCATGACTGTCATACCAGAACACAGGAAAAGAGGATGAACTCATTTGACTTGATGACTAGGGTTGATGGATGGGGGGGGGGGGGTTTTTTTTTTTGGGGGATAGGGGGGGGGGGGGGGGGGGGGGGGGGGGCTGGGGGGGGGAGGAGGCGGGAGGGGGGAGGGAGAGGGAGGGGGGGCCTGAAGGGGAGGAGGGAGAGTGAAGTGAATAAATAATTAATTTTAGAGAAAGAGCTGAAAGCTTTACCAGCTATTTACTAAAGTGTTCAAACTTAGGAAATGTCCTTTTGATGACTTTTAAATCTCAAAGGTGACAAAAACATTATCAATCCCTGATATAGGGGTGTGTGTGTGTGTGTGTGTGTGTGTGTGTGTGTGTAAAAGGCATATGGTAAACAATCTCTTTGTGTATGTATGCATGTGTCTGTGTACTGAGAAGCAATGGCTTGAGTAATTTTTAAGTTGGTAAGATACTTCATTTTTGGAACATGTATCTGTCTGCAAGTGCTCAGGTTTACAAATACAGGCTATGTCACATTCATCTGACCTTGTTTTGCAGGATATCAATCTTCTACTGCCATTCTTGACACTGTCTTACCTCATTTGCTTTGCCATCTTGAGTTTCTGCCTAACCATGACTACATACTTCTATAATGCTTCTGCATTCTCTTAAGTCCTTAAAGGGTCTCTAATAAGAAACTCTTTCAAAACTCCAGTGCCTTTCAAAACTGAATTTCTGAGATGGCTAGGCTAAGAAACCACTTGTTTGCTCGCATCAATCAAGAAATCATTAAAAGTGAATTTGGTGAAGAAAGTTGCTTTATGATTTTTTTACAGTTATTTCTTTTTTATTTTTTTATTAATTACACTTTATTTACTTTGTATCTCCCCTGTAATTCCCTCTCTCCTTCCCTCCCAATCCCTCCCTTCCTCCCCCTTCTCCATGCATGCCCCTCTCCAAGTCCACGGGTAGGGAAAGTCTTCTTTTGCTTCCTTCTGATCCTAGTCTATTAATCAAGAGGGAAGACTCTGGCTAACATGCTCAATCCCTATCCAGAAAGGCAAAGAGGATGGACATCAGAAGAAGGAGAAAACAGAGAACAAGTTAAGAGCCTGCCACAGAGGGCCTATGAAAGGCTCTGCCCTGCAGACTATCAAAGCAGATTCTGACCAGCCTTTGGGCAGAATGCATGGAATCTTATGAAAGAAGTGGGAAATAGTAAGATCTGGAGAGGACAGAAGCTCCACAAAGAGAGCAACAGAACCAAAAAATCTGAGCACGGGGGTCTTCCCTGAGACTCATACTCCAACCAAGTACCATTCATGGAAATAATCTAGAACCCCTGCACAGATGTAGATCATAGCAGCTCAGTATCCAACTGGGTTCCCTAGTAATAGGAACAGGGACTGTCTCTGACATCAACCCAGTGGCTGGCTCTTTGATCACCTCCTCCTGAGTGGGGGGAGCAGCCTTACCAGGCCACAGAGGACAATGCAGCCACTTCTGATCTTTTTTTTTTTTTTTTTTTTGGTAACTTATTTTCTCTCTTCAGCTACTCAGGTCTGGTTTGAAGCTATATCATGTAGCTTTATTACATTTCATTTTGCCATTTGCTGGTAAATCCCTTTCTAGTTCCTAATCTTTTCTCTGGTCTACTTTCATTTGGCACAGACACACTGCCAACTAAAACAAGGCACACAAATCTCAGTCACCACCAAGGATATTGAACAGTTCTCCAGATTTTCAGGATAAAAATTATTTCATCGTGTCTCTGTTTTCTTCTCTGCTTTCTTCCTCCATGGTCACATCCACCATCAGTCTTAACACTTTCTTTTGTTTTCCAGACATATAACTCAGCTTTCCTCTCTGAGTAGTATGCAAGAATGGATGACTTATCTGTGACCATAGCTGCATCCTGGTTATAAGCTGAAGTTTTAGTGATCCCTAGCTAGTCTACACTGCTGCCAGGAGAAGCTTTTTCAGTATTATTTGTACTATCTATTATTTGTACTATTTCTATCTAAAAATTAATAGCAGGGTGAAATGTGAATTCTTCAACCTGTTTTTGATGCCACCAATTTATTTACAGCCCCTCTTTCACCTCAACAGTACCTCACTCTCACCTTCTTTCTCCTCCCTCACCCTTTCTCTCCAAATGATTACCAGCCCCATTTTTTCCCAATCTGAAATTTCTATTCAAACCATACCTGCTTAACTTTCTCCAGGATGTGGCTTGCTATTTCCAAAGTGCTGTTTCATTGCAAATGTCATTCATTTTGGCTGACGTACTCTGTCCACAGCAGATTAAACACTTCTATACTTCTAAAACATGTGGCATTGTTCACTCAAGATGCTTTTCTGTGATTCCATTTGACTTGTTCTTTTTCCCTACTAAATATGGCCTGAGCATATATATTCCATTTGTTTTTTCAGCTTCTGACATTAATACGTTTTTAAACTGTATCTTCAACTGGTGTCCAGTCACTTCCAAATGCAGCATGAGCATCTTGAGAGCAAGAGCCCAGCATAATTTGTCTCACTTGCAGTGGTGTCAGTTTTTCCACTTATGCAGCATTCAAGACTCGCTATTTGACTCTTTGGCATTATTTCCAGTCATGGTCAACTCTCACTGTAGCCAGCCAGAGTTTCCACATAGGTCTTCATGTAGTTTTTGTCTGTCATCTGCACGCACACAGGAAAACTGTTCTTTAAGCCACACACTTACTTTGGTATTTTAACCGAAGTTTAGTTCCGTTACATATTAAGCCACATGTTGTACCAGCTGTTCCAGCTCAGTTATTTTTAAATTTCTGTATGCATCCAACTTCATTGAAAAGCTCATCAAAACCTAAATTATTAGCCTTCATCCCATAATTTGCAATTTATTTAGTCTGGGGTGGGATTCAAACTTTTGATTGGTAACAAATTCACAGATGATGGCAAAAAAACTCACAGTTTGGAAAGTAGTGACCAAGAAGATACCAAAATAGGCTAAGGCACAGTCTTTCATTTTAAGTAACTTACAGTTTGATCATGAAGGACCAAGAAACATTTAGCAGTCAAAAAATTTATAGTGTTTTCTTTTTCACCCATGCAGCAAATGCTGAATGAATATTATGTGCTAATTGCTATTGTAAGTGGTAATATTACATCAACGATCAAGGTAGACAAAAATCTTGATTGTCATGGTAGAATTATAATTGGGGAAAACAGAAAATGAACAAAATATTAAAGATGTAAGGCATTTATGAGTACTCAGGAGAAAAAGAGTGGAAAAGAAATAGCAAGGTGGTCAGATTCAGGAATGTGGAAGCCTGCAGTTTGGGTGTTAATTCCCATGAGTATTTTTTAGCTATGAATAGCTGTTTCGACTGTTTGAGCTTTGATTTCTCTATTTATTCCATGTAACACTTGGACAACATTGTATCTGAAGTTCTCTACATTTCTAAAGGTATAGGATACTAAGTCTCACAGGCAATCAGGACTAAGTAAATTGTTTGGGCACTGTAGCTCACTGCTGTAATCCTAGCAAGTGTGCAGGAGGCTATTAAACTAATTTTCAAGCTTTTTCAAGTCCTGAAATACTATATAATTTCCCCAATAGTAGCATCATGTATTAAACCGGTTAGTATGTTACTATTTAATCCCAAGGTTTTGTAAGCCTCAGAAATAAATTATAACAAACAGAAAATTTCTATTTTTCCATCTTCTGTGTTACTTCATTCAACAGATGGCTAGTATTTAGCATAATAGATATTACATACATATTATGTACACGTACATACTTACATTAAATGCTTTCATGGTCATATAGGTAACTGAAGCTTCTTGAAAATTTCCCAGTTTTTTTTTTTTAATTTTAATCAAGTAATGAATACACATATCTTTTGTATGCTTATATTTCACAAAACCTTAATATAAAATCATTCTCTTAGGAAAGGTTACTCTGAAAACTTCAAAAACTCACTGTTTAAGGGTAGTATAAACACAAGTTAAATATGATCTGCAAAATACTTAACTGTCACTAGAATAAAATAAGCAAAAGTGATGATGATGGCTATAATAAGGTGAAAAGCGATTATTTTCCCATTTATATTCCAAGTCCTGGATAATGTTACCAGTTGATGCATTTAGAAAATGATAACTTTCTTCTGAGTTGTTTTGAATCACGAGGCCCACCCATGGAAACTGTTCAGTGCTATTTCTTGAAGGGTAGCCACAAGAGCTAAAATGCCTTGAGAATTTTAGAAACATAGTTCCAAAAATGTGGCTGGGTCAAAAGGGTGATAGTTTTCTCTTCTGTGTATGTGTTATTCATTCTTTATTCCTTTTTAATAAATAGGGGATGGAGAATTGTCGTGGGAACATTCTGATGGTGATATCTTCCGGCAACCTGCCAACAGAGAAGCAGTAAGTGTGAAGAGCTCCAATATTTCCACACTCTGCAGCAGCCAAGCTTTATTCTCCCCATGGCCATTAGTCTGTCAAATCCAAAAGAGGACCCATTTCTAACATCATTTATTTCTCATTCTTCAGAAAAATTAAACGATGTCATCACCAACCTCTAAACATTTATCATTGGTAATTAGGGACAGAAAAGAACACAAAGCAACCATAGCCTTTTGTCTCAGTCAGAAGTTGGCACTCTCTTAGGATGACCTGACAAATCTGTATACTCTCTCTAAGGAAGATAGTCACTACCTGTCTTCACTACCTGTCTTCACTGCTTCACTACCTCAACAATGAAGACTTTCTGTGGGATTTTAACATATCCAAACTATTTTTTTGTTAGATTCCTTATAAACCTGAGAACTCTTGGTCATGCAGTTGAAAGAAAAGCAAGCTTGTGGGCCAGATTCCCCCTTCCCTGCTTTTTACCCCTATTTTTGTTGTCAGTACAAATCTCAGAATAAACCTGAAAAGTAGGAATCTATCTATCTATCTATCTATCTATCTATCTATCTATCTATCTATC